CGGTCTTGCGGAGATGACCATCTATATAGCCTGCATTGGAATGGTGGGTTGTTACGGCCAAGGTCCTACCGGCGTTTTTTTTCATCCGTTTCCGCGTCCGGATAGGGTTCTGGAATGGCTATTGCATGAACGGTGAACGGGCACGACTGAATTGTGGCTACAGGCACCTTCATCCGCCTTCCAGGCCAGGGCCTCGACATGGAGTCACGAGTTACCGGGCCTCGATGCAAGGGTTGCCGTCGCCAGAGATAAGATAACTCGGAGAAGAACATCATGAAATGGACAAGAACTGTGGGAAGCGGTCATGCAGGCTTTCCTGGCGGACCGTGCCCAAGGGCATCTGCCGCCTCTGGTGCCAGGCGCGGATTTCAGATCTTTGCTTGTCAAGGTCGAGGCTACAAGTTTATGCTTAGGGTTGAGGCTTTGCGGGGTTTCGACGTTCGTGGTCTACGGCGCTCCTGGAGGAATCAATCAGGGAGAGCCTCAATTTTTTCGTGAGACCCAAGCAGGTTTGAGATGATAGCCACAGTTGTCAATGGACGCAATTTCGGTTCGAGCAGGCCAGGACAGAGCCGCCATGATCAATTCATTGACCCGAGCTCTGTCTCGCCGTTGCCTGGCAGGCCATGGTGGTCAGCCTCGCAGCTGGCCAGCAGCAGTCTTTGCTGCCACTACTATTGTCGGCCAGAAACGGTTTCTGTCTGTCCTGCCTGGTGGTTGCTTGGAGAGTTACCTGAAGCTGAAAGCTTCAGGTAACTCTCCAAGCAGATGCTCGGCAAGAGGATTGCATGAACATGTTGGACGGCCTGGCCGGAAACTTGGAGAGCTACTCGCCTAAAATGGCAAGAGCTCCCAAGCCCACACCGCTGCCCACTCCATCTCCAGGCTTCTTCGGAAGCCTTTTTGGAGCCAAGGCCAAAGCAGCCAAGCCTCCTCCCCCCAAGGCAGCCAGGTCGTGAAAGCCTGGCTGTACTTGGGGGGAGGCACAGGTTCTGGCAAGACCTTCATGATGAATTTGTTCTACGACAAGATCAATGTGAAGGAGAAGAAGCGAATCCATTTCCACGAGGGCATGATTGAGGTACACGATAGACTTCGTCAGAAGAAGATGCGCAGAGCGAGCAGGGACAAAACTGCCGACGATTTGGTGGAGCAGGTTGCAACGGACAGGACGAGGGAGGGCTGGCTGCTTTGCTTCGACGAGTTTCCGGTGACACACATTAGCGATGCTATCATCATGAAACGCATGTTCTCTATGCTCTTAGAGTTAGGGGCCGTGGTCGTCGCAACTTCCAACCGTCCTCGCAACTTCCAGCCGTGCTCCACAGGACTTGTACCTGAACGATCTCCATCGCCCCACTTTTCTTGCCTTTGATTCCGATGCTTGAAGACTTCTGCAATGTTCATGACATTGGCGCAGAGGTGGACTACCGAATGGCCTCCACGTGCGATGGGGAGGACGACCGAGTTTACATCACACCGAATGGACGTGCCGAGCAGAAAGTCCTGGAGTATAAGTTTGCCTAGATCCTTGGGCCCTGTTTGGAAAACAAGCGTTTTTGAGTTAAAATTAGTATCCCCCCCCAAAAAAATGCCTAACTCGTGAACGCTAACCCGACTTTTCAGTTGATGTTTTGAGTTCGGCCTCGGCGGTGACCCAGGATATGCCAAGGGAAGTTCCGCGCGGGCGCGCAGGTGGAGGAACAAGGGCGCCAGGTCCTTCTGCCGCGCTGTGCCGAGATGTCCGATGTAGCCTGGTTCGACTTCTCGGACTTGTGCAACAAGGCTCCTAGGCGGCACTTTGGGAAACTTTCAAAATTTCCCTTATGGTTCAAACAGAGGTACCTATTCACATATATGCTTTTAAGAGCCCCCAAAACTACGTTCATCAGAGGCTCTTGGAGCAGCAGACTATCTGGCCGTCGGCCGTACTTTCCACACTGTGTTGTTGGCAAACGTCCCAGAGCTTACCATGCAAGAGCGCGATCAAGTTCGACGGTTCATCACCCTGATCGACTCTCTTTATGAGTGTCGTACCAAAGTTGTGTGCACGGCAGAGCTCGATCCGATCCCCTTGTTCTACGTCTCTGAGGAGGAGCGAAACACCCCAACTGCAGATGAGATTTTCGCTTGGCATCGGACGGCTTCTTGCTCGACTTTTGCAGCTGTGTGCGATTGTTTGCATTTGTCTGCGTGTTTCTGTGTCTCTCTATCTCTCGCGCTCTTTGGCCGGCCAGAGTGAAAATTCTTTCTGACTGCTCCCGAGCCTTAGAAGCAATGTATCGGCTCAGGCCAGTCGCCTCATGGAGCTGCGCTCTGCCGGGTACTGCAAATGACTCGGAATTTCTCGGGCAAAAAGTGTGCGAAACGATTCATTCAGGGTGGCATTGCCCTTGCCCCGAGGCGGGTTCTCGATGTGTAGGGGCAACTGCTCCATCTGACCAAGCCGCGTGGGGGTTCAGGGATCGCGACGAAAATGGCCCTGCATAGTAAGTAACCCATACATTTCCCCCCCCCCCCCCTAGTAATCCTACTTATCCACTTGAGGGTGGCTCAGATTTGAAGAGGGCCTCAAAATGAGTGTCATACCGAGCCAACCCATTAAAAAACAGAATCTGATCCCAAACCCATGAAACATACCCTAAACCCCAAACCCCAAATACGCTAAACCCAACCCATGAAACATCCCCTACACCCCTAACCCCTCAACCCGTAAACAGCCAAACCCCCAAGCCCCAAAACCCCAAATACGCTAAACCCAACCCATGAAACATCTCTTCAGAGGCGGGCTGCCGGAACTCTCCAGCCCGTTGGCCTCGCCGGCCGGGGACCCCATTCTATACATCTCTTCCTTTATCCCTTCATCTATCCATCGATTTATCGATCAATCGATCTATCTATCGATCTGTCGATCTACCGATCTATCTGCACATATATATATATATATGTATGTGTATATATGTATATCTCTCTCTCTCACACACTCTCTCTCTCTCTCTCTCCCTCTCCTCACACTCTCTTCCCCCCTGTCTGTACGTCTGCCTGGCTGGCTGGCTGGCTGTCCGTCTGCCTCTACATGTATCTTTGTATTATCTATCTGACTATCGGTCTATCTATCGACCGACCCATCTATCTATCTATCTATCTATCTATCTATCTATCTGTCTATCCTTCTATCCATGTATCCATATATCCATCTATCCATCGATCCATCGATGAGTCTATCCATCTACCCGTCTATCCATCTATCTATCTATCGATCGATCTACCTGATCTATCCATCTATCGAACCATGTTGCTTTCCATCTTCGCATGGATCCATCTATCCGTCCGTCCATCCGTCCGTCCGTCCGCCGTCCGTCCGTCTCTCCATCCATCCATCCATTCATCTTTATCCATGTGCATAGATGTATATACACATAGTTTTAGTTACATCTTACAGCTATCAGATACCGTGCTGTCATGATGAAGCGCAGGAGCAGTGTACCTATGTGGCGAAGTATGCAGCTCGCTGGAGCAGTAAGTCAGTAGCGATGCAAGACCGGAGTATAAGGCGTGCAGCCATAGAAACATTCTGTAAATGGCCAGCTGCAGCAACAGGAGAAGCATCAGGAGAAGAAGCAATGGCAGCACCAGTGGCAGCAACAAGTAGCAGTCCTCGTCGTGAACATTGTTATGGTCATAGCATGGCGTAGCAGCAGCAACCTCAAGACGAATCATACGACAGCGGGCCGTTTAAACTAGGTTGACAATATGTAGCAGTATAGTTTGTAGAGCAACAAAAACCGAAACTTAAGTCTCTCTCATAGCTAACTCGGAGTCATCCAGCGTACAAGTGAGATCCAGGCCCTGTTCTTCCCCAGGATGAACACTCTGAGCCGTGCGCTCGAGAAGCCCGACTCTAGGATTCGAGAGCCTGAAAGGAAGTCTTCATCCCCAAGCTTTAATCTCAAACCTGCACCCCGAAAACCCCAAACCTGAAACCTGAAACTACCGAACCCTTTAGGCACAATCTCAGCCTCACACACACCAAGCACTTACAAAGTAGAAGCAGGTTCCGGGAAGCGGCCCACTGCCGGATTTGCGCGGGGCAGCCTCGGCTGGATTTCTGAAGGGCCACGAGTTGTCTTACAAGTACAGATAAAATTACTAAGAATGGCTTCGAACCGGTAGGGATCGGGGGCTGCGGCAAGCGGGGAAACTTTATGGCTAAGGTGGCTTTTTAGTGTGGGAGCGTGGCTTGAGCGTTGAAACTCCCCCTCTCAGGGGGAGGGGGACCTGGGGATTGCTCGTTTCGGGGCTTAATCCAGGTTTGTAGTTCCGGAGGTTGCAGCAGTGTTTAGGCTGGATCCCATGCCCTCAAAACATCACGATTGTGGCAATGTCGAAAATAATGATGAAGATGGTGATTGTCAACAGAGTCGAACAGCCCTCAGCCCTTTCCTGTGGGTTTTGCTACTCCGAGGCAAAGAAAGCTCCCGTGGACGCTTCGGTTCGCGAAGCCCTCCGCGCCCTTCGTGCGGCTTCGCTCTCCGAGTTCTTCGGCGCCAATGTGGTGCTTTACGTGGTAGTTCTCTGTTCAGGGCTATCAGCCTTTGGGTTCTGCAGATAGTAGAGCCAAAGCTTTAGTGTTCGCAGTTCGTGTGCTACTTATGCTACCCTTCTCAGACAGACATGCTGATTCAGTTGCCGTTTGTGCTCGTCTGCACTCCGCAATGCTTTTTCGATAATTGGAAACTTCGGAGAAGTCTACCGGTTGCTGAAGCTGCAGCATGTGTTGTGTGACTGCCCAGGTTTGCTGTGGCGGCATAGTAGCGGAGCATGCATTCAACCTGTTTCACATCTTGTACAGACTTGCATGCTGCTGACGACGATGCTTCCACATGTCAAAAGAACCGTTAAGCACTGCCCGATTTCAACCCAGAGGTTTTGCTTGCAAAATTCGGTCAGCAGCTCGCAGCAACTACAGCAAGACATGCGTCTGCTCCAACAGCTGGCAGGCCTCATCAACGCGGGTAATTGGTCCTTCAACGATCAGCAGGCGTGTGCCGACCGTAGGACGACATCGCCGTCACGAGCTTGCAGAAGCAGGAACTTATGTATGCGGGATGCATTTAAAGATGAAGCTTCCCAGAGAGCCCAATACCGCCAATACCCCTTAAGTAAGGAATATACCCCCAACCCTAATATTAAGGCCCTTGTAATTCAAGGTATGTTCCTTAATGAAAGGCTACTGGGCTCACTGGGTCCCCCCCATCCTGGCCAGGTCTTCCTTCTGAGAAAGCAGATCTTGCGGGCGTACCGAGAGCTGGAGGCTTGGCACCCAAAAGACATGCTGTGGGCTTGGGGCTTTCGCGTGGATACACATGTCAGTCAGCACGGCAACATGCCAAACTACTTGTACGTAGGTATATGTGTGAATAACCAAATACAGAAATAAGCACAAAATTGAGTAATACATGTATATATATATATGTAT